TGCTGCTGCTGTCCTCAGTTATATACGTTGGCGCTTCTTTGTTACTCCACCCTCCAGGTTTATTCCGAAGATCTTATCATAGCGTCGATAGTTCCTTGTTGCCTTGTAGATCTTTACGTTCAGAGATATTATATTTCTGTGTAAGAAGAACGACTGTGCCATTTATATCAGGTACCTATTGATCTTCCCCTCTTGCAGTGTAGTTATGATCTCTTTATATGAAACGCTCTCAAAATTTCATCTAGAATCGTAATTACTAATCAGTAGATCAAAAAAGCTGAAAAATTAGCTATATCTTTTTTGGGTGCAACTTTTTGTTTGTCTAATGTTTTCGTATATCTTTAACGGGAATTTTGATAATAATTTACTTCATTTTGGCCAACTATTTGTTCAAGGTATATAATAGAAATTTTTATTTTAAATACTTACCTCAACTTTTCCTCCTGTTTTTCTCACAACGATAATGTCATCTAAGTTAGCATCCCTGAATTATAAATATTATAGAACACTGACAATAATTGCTTGAAATTGATTTGGTGAAGTCAGTCTTTTCAGTCAGAATAGACAAAATAAAAAAATATTAACGGAGTGTTTATTAATTTTTTTAATAAGATTCTTATGAATCGATCTAAAATTTAAACGTTGTTATTTGATTTTTAGTTTTCATAATAGTTTCACTCACGCACATTCTACCGTTAATTAATATTTATAGTTATTCCGTTGTAAGAATGTACGCATATGAAGTACAGATTCCTAATTAGTACATATTCTCGTCGCGCTCTCTAACTATTGATACCATCCCCTTTGGTGTTACATTGCAAGTAAATCACCTTTTAATCCACTGATGTTCAGTTAAATGAGAGAAATGAGAGTTAAACGAGATGACTCATAGTAACTTTCGAGGTAACTTTACATAATTGGTACAAAACTCGATAAAGATGATCGAGAAAGGAGAAATCATATGGGGTAAATATGATCTTCTGTGCATTGTTTGAACACTTCTGAACATATAAAATATAATAAATCAAAACAGTTTTCATAAGACGATCAGCAATGTTTCTTCACGTGATCTTTTGCCTCTTTTTGGACATTGTTTCTGGAACTTATGATCGCTGTTTTGTTCTAGTATTAATCATTGCCTCGCTTTGGTTAGGCTGTAAACAATTCTACAGCGCAAGTAAATTGATCATTAATGTAGTTTTTGAATAAATGCTGGTTTAAACTTCTTCATATCCAACTATCCATTCCTAAAATTAAATCATAGAAAATTAAATTTAGCTACTTCTCATAGTAATAAAAAACAAGTCTAAATTGTGTTTACTTAAGGACCCATTTTACACCATTTTTGCTCATTCTTTTTTCAAGAATGCCTTTAGTTGCTAGACTTTTTCTTTGTTAACAATTTGTTTATACAGTGAATTTCCCTTAAGATGCAATATACAAAAATACAGGGTGGTTCAGTTTTTAATCGGGAAACTTTACTAGGACGTAGTATTTGCCAAAATAACACAAGCTTTTTATATAAACATAGGGACATTGAAATTTTGTATGTATATACTACTGGTTATATAATACCTTATTTTCAACCATACTTTAAACTTCCCTACCACCCTCTAACGGGATGAAATTCACAACCCCTTTGATTTTTTTATAACAACTTTTTAACCCCATGGAATATTAACATAAAAAAATATGGGTTGTAAAGCGTAATTATTATTGGTACTTTTTGGTCTATTCAGTTTTTTAAAGTTAATGTTTTCGGTGTTAGAAAAGGTTATGTCAGAAAGATTGGTCACTCTAGGAGCGAAGGAGATGTTATTTAATGGTACTTTGAACGAGGGATATTTCATATAATATCAATTTTTTTAATGTGAAGAAATAAACTATTGTTGTGATTAGAATTACTTGCAATTGGTTTGTCACTTACGTCGTTATCCGGAATGAAATTATTTCAGTTGGATCGTCTGTCTCTTCTGGTTAAGGGAATTCTTCTCGAGTCTTTCAAGTCTTTTCTTTTTGATTTCTTTATTGCGGAGTGCTGATCGGTAGACTTCTTCTTGAAATTTGGAAATGATATCTTTCTGTTCCACAAAATGTAATTTGGAGAAGCCGATGTATAAATTTAAATATTTTGTCTTGTTTTGACTGTACAGGGTGGTTCAAATTCGATGTCCGAATTTGAAGTCGTGAGATATCATGACAATTTTGGTTTTTTTAAATGGAAACAACCACTGATTATTCGCTTATTAAATTCGTTATTTTTTTCTGATTACAAAAATATAGGTTCGACAGGTCTATGTCTTATTGTTTTAGAATAAAGCTAAAAATAAACTTTTTTTTATAAAATTTCCATCTAGTGTCGTCGAGAAAATTAAATTTACAGTTTCCTGTAAGTTACGGGGCGGTAGGTAAAATCTAAAAAGTTAACAATTAAATACGAAGATAACTTCTGGTATTTAAAAACAAATAATTTTTTAATATCTAACATTCTAACATGTCAAACTTTTCAGAATTTTCGTAATTGATCTTAAAAACAGGATTTTTAAAGTGACACTTCAGAAAATTTTTGAATACAAACAAATGTTGCTATGTTTATTTGAATTAAAAAAATAAAGTCCCTAGATTTACAAAGTACCGCGCTTCATAAAGCCTGTTTTCAAGCCAAAATGGCGGTTTGACAGCTTGTCACTGCATCTCACCACTTAGTTACAATAATGTTGTCTTTGGAGTTGCAAAAATGAGAGTAATAGAACGACATAGTTTTAAATTTCCCGCTTGACTTTCGAGCCAAAATGGCGTCAAACCGCGGTACTTTGTAAATCTAGGGACTTTATTAAAAAAAAACGTATGAGCGCCATCTATCGATAATTTATTAAGTCATTTAAAAATAATATTAAATCGTAATAAAAAATGTGAAATAATGCAATCTATTCCAACTTTTGTGTAAAACATATATAAATTAAACAGTTCAACAAATATATTTGTTTCAAATATCAGAAATATGTTTTTTTAATTTTTAGTTATAGAACCGTAATTTACAGGAAACTGTAAATTTAATTTCTTCCACGACACTAAAAGAAAAGTTTATTTTTAGTTTCATTCTAAAACAATAAGAAATAGACCTGTCAAACCCTATATTTTTGTAATCAGAAAAAAATAACGAATTTATTAAGCGAATAATCAGTGGTTGTTTCCATTTAAAAAAACGAAAATTGTGATAATATCTCAAAATCTAAAACCGACAATTTTGGCCTCTAGCGGAAAAACAGAAGACGATAGCGCTATGAGGTTTTCGGCATTAGCAGTTTCTCGAAAAACGAGATCATGACATGTCAGCTACTTTTCTTCTAACTCTTATAGTTTTCGAGTTAGCCTATTCGGACATCGAATTTGAACCACCCTGTACTTTGTAATGTTGTTGTAGGCGTTTTTTCATAAATTTCTTCTCGAGTTCGAACTGTGCGTTTTTGAAGTTTTTTGAGATTTTTATCTTGAAAGACACCGGGGTAATTTGTTTATTTATAGCTTGATGTAGGAAGTTTATATGATCTTTTGTTTTTTCACGTTTAGTCATCATTTTTCTTAGTTGCAGGAGAATAACAAATAACTTTCCATTTTGTAATTTGGCAATTAAGGTCTTCAACACCCTACAACTAAGATGAATGTTTCTACTTTTAGGTCTAATGTTAGTTCTAGTGACAGTGGTAGGTAACGCTAGTTAGCATAAGATATCACTATTTTGCATATTTTTATTGCAATAAAACTAGAACTAACGCAAGACCTAGAACTAGAATCATTCGGGTTTAGCCGTCTTGAGAGACGTGCGGCTAAATCCGAATGTTTCTAGTTCTTGGTCTAGTGTTAGTTCTAGTTTTAATTGTTATTTAGCGTTAGATTGTAGTATATTTTTATTGAACGAAAAGTAGAACTAACACTAGACCTAGAACCAGAAACATTCGGGTTTAGCCGCGGCTGTCTTTAGACGTCCGAAAATTCAAGATTATGAGGACGTTACCTTTTTCCAAGCAAAACTGTTCCTTTTGCAGAACTACCCAATGCTTGTACTATTAAATCTATGTTACCAGTGAAGAAATAAATGGTTAAAAATGAAAGACAGTTTCAATGTACTTTAACTGGTTGTAAAATTTTTTATTTTTCGTCTGCCTAGTTTCGCCTTATAGGCATGTTCAGAGACTTCGTTAAAAATGTGAAGTTACATCCATTTTATCAAAAAATAACTATAGTATTGACTGATTATGTTGTAGAATATTTCTTAATTCCGAAAAATTCCATAAAAATTAGTTAAACTTTTAAAATTAAAGACGAGCACGTTACATTTTAAACTGCATTATTATTTATAAATCCTATTCATGTTATAATACGAATAATTTCGTGTCTACTCCATCCTATCACAATATCTTATCTTTAGAAACTGAGCCATAATTGTACAAAATCACTTGAAGTGAGTAAATATTGTTTCAAGTGTTTCAACATTAAAAAAGTTGATTATAATTAAAAGTGATGGAATTGTTCATCATTTATTGTAATCGATAAAGTTGTTCAATAAATCCGCATTTAAATTTAAATCATTTCGACTTCCTCTATGTGGGAAATCAATCTTTATAGAAAACTGTACCAACATCTTATCTTATTTTATTTTCTCAATGATAAAGTCAACTCAAAGGGCCTCATTGTTAACGATCTTTTTGCAGAACCGGTGGTTTGTAATAAAAAGATAACGATTTTCTATTTAAGAAATGATACAGTTTTCGAATCAAGTTTAGCGGAAAATGATCGGTGTCCTTTAAAATTTCTAAACCTTAAAGGTATCATAAAATACGTTTCCTGAAACGTTGCGTGTCGTCCGGTTGTTCTACATTTCTAGATTTTATCGCTGCCTTGGTCTTCCGGTTTTCGTGCTTGCCAATCGATGAATTTCGCACGCTCCTACCTTCTTACATCTTTGACTGTTAAAAATTTTTTAGACGAAGAATTAAAAATATCTTTCTTTTTGTAGATCAAAGGAGAATGCATGGAAATGCGGGCGATCGGAGAGCGCTCGAACGGGAAGCTCTTCGAAATGTCATCGCTCAATGGAACGCCAACCGATTAGATATTTTTGAATTGTCCGAACCAAATGAGGTAAGTTAAAAAAAAATAAATCATCGTAAATCACTTTCGCTATCACAATTCATTTCACACGTTTGTTCTAATATATCTAATAGACTTAATGAAAGTATCTAAACAAGAAGTGATTATTTTTAATAGAGAGCGGGAAAATTCTTCTTTTATGTAAGAATAAGAGCAACGCAGCCGCGTACAATTAAAGTTTAAGTGGTCTCGAGTCCTAATTGACCTACGCTCATAACTTTTATTTCTTCTCGTTGGAGTTAATGATCTAACGAGATGAGTGTTGAGAGTTTGTATATTGTTCCCAACGGTGTGACAGTGACTCTGCAAGGCGCCACGCCACGATAATCGTTGTTGCGGTTCATTCTTCGTACCGACTGGTTCTCTTATTACTCATAGTTTAAGCACGCCAAGAATTCATTGTGTGTCTCTCCGTCTCCGATATGAATACTTAAACGAGAATTGCTTTTTTTTTTGTAGTTGTAACTCGAGAAACAACTTATTTGGATTTTAAGTTTTATTAGGTTAGTACTACTCATGTCAGAGAAAGTTGTTCCTATGATGTAGTTTCGCATTATTCTAATTAGTGTTGGTCGGATGGATTCAAGTTTTAAGTTGCCATTCTTCTTGTCTATTTTGGACCGGATGGAATTAATTGCCTCATTTGGGAGAAATTGTGAACAGTGAACGAGAACGTTTCTTCGTTCGTTCTTCGTCGATGACCTTAAAAAAAAGACAAACTCGTGACACACTTATTTAAGCGTGTAAACTATCCAGTTCAAAAAAACAACAACGTTTAACATAGAGAGATAACCTTGTTAACACGATGACAGAGTTTAGTTTACAAACGAAATCGCATTAGATGTTTTCGTTGGAATTCTTTGTGTAGTTTTATTGCGTGTTGGCTAAAGTAAAAATAAAAAGAAATGGGAACAAAGAACAATGCGGATGCTTGAATGTCATTATTATTATTAACCAAATATGACGCTTAACATTTTTTCCTTGCTACTGTCCATCTCCCGTTACGCGATTTGCATACCAAGCAGTACGATGGTTTGTAAAGAATGTTTGTTCATCCGTTTTGAAGAAAACGTGCTTGTTGAGTATTAGAAACTTGGTTTTTTTTATGTATTCGTGAAGATTCTTTGTTTATTTCTTGGTCTCATTTAAAATTTGAATGGACAAGTTGGGTTACTTTCTAATTGCAATCGTGTATTCTTCGAAAGTTTGCATTACCTATTTTATGTTTACATCATGAAAGTGTAATTTATGAAAAGTAGTAATTTTCAATATCTCTACTTTTTTTATTATTCTTGTTTGTGAAAGTTTTTTTCATTCGTTCTTTTCACCATGTTATAAGATATTTTGCCAAAGTCGAATAATAATGTTTGTCGCCCCACATTTCTCCTCGTACGCATTGTACAGTTACGGTTGTTGGTCAAAGAAGAGGCCCCGAGGCTATGTTTCGAACGGTAGAAACTCTCTTTTAAAATCTGTGTCTCAATCAGACGAGTTGAATTGAATAGAATACGGACGATCTTTCGTTTATTACGAGGAATTTGCTCGAACGCATTCTGACACGGTTCACCGAGTACGAACAGAGTATGAATCCATTAACCTTTACCCGAAGGAAAAGTACTTCTAAAAAGTTATATGTGATCTATTTTCGAGGCATCAAAAAACCTCAGGCGTCGTTCCCACATTCATTGAATTACATTTTTTGTCTTAAGCAAAGTCTTAACAATGAACGTTATTGTTTTATATTTTTATAAGTAGGTACCGTCATCTTTAAGATGATGGTTTAATTTTCAACGATGGATTAAAAAAAATCTCATCTGGTCTTGTTTAAAATCGCGCCCTTTAAGATTTCGAAATTTAACACCTCTTGTATTTCGTTACGGTAACCGATACTCTTTGTGGTGCTATAACGTACCTATTGTATAACAGCCTTCCTTTTGAAAACGTCTGCCTTTTGTCAACTTACTTTTTACGAAGTTTTTTTCGGAATATAAACGATTATCACTTTATGCGAATTAAAAAAAGTTTTTGTTTTTTAGGATTTGGAATTTCATGGGGTGATGCGATTTTATTTTCAAGATTCTGGTCAAAAAGTAGCAACAAAATGTATTAGGGTCGCTTCTGATGCCACCGTCGAAGATGTCATCGGAACGTTGGTCGAAAAATTCCGTCCGGACATGCGAATGCTTTCGGTGCCTTCTTATGCCTTGTACGAACTCCATCAGGGTTGTCCCGAACGAAAAATGTCGCCCGATGAAAAACCGCTTTTGGTTCAACTTAACTGGCACGTGGATGATCGCGAGGGACGATTTTTACTTCGAAACGTTGACGATAGAACCGTAAGTTTTATTTAAATTGATTTATTTTATGACCGGTATAATTTTCGTTTTTATGTTAGTCCAATTCGGTTGGAATGTCAGATTCCAACGCGAGTTTTCGACGAAAGTTATCAAAACGTGAAAAGAAACAATTAAAAAAACAAGAAAAACAACAAAGATTAAAAAGTGAAAATGGAGATAACGATAAAGATGGTGTAGCAGAAAAATTATACACAGGTAATATTTATCTTAATCAATAAGAATTGTTTTTAACTTGTCTTTTTTTAAAGAATTGCCTGAAACGTCTTTCACAAGATCTATATCGAACCCAGAAGCTGTTATGAGGAGAAGACGACAGCAAAAATTAGAGAAAAAACTTCAACAATTCCGTTCAAAAGATGGAGGTCCAGATACCGGGGGTACCTTAAAGATATATGGTGAAGCTCTTTGTAAAGACGTCCCTTATAAAACGTTGTTATTGTCGATAAGAGATTGCGCGGGTGGTGTGGTTAGAGAAATGCTCGAAAAATATGGTTTAAGCAAATCAGATCCTTCCCAATGGTGTTTGGTCCAAGTCACTCAACAACCAGGTGTTCCCGACACAGAGTACGTTTTGGATGATGAAGAGTGTCCTTTATCCATTTTAATGAACTCGCCTAATTCAAGTAAGTTTCATTTTAATTCATATTTCATATTTTCAATAATTTTTGAGAGTTGTGATGGTGGTTGTCTATCTATTCGGAAATTGCAACAAAATCTCGATATAAAGAGCTTATTTTAATAACTTGAGAATTGGGTTATTATAGAACAAAATCATTCTTTATTTAACCTTTCAGTACACATATTTACACAGTCACACGCTCGAAATGATCGTCGTGCAAAAAATGGCGCTAATTAGAAGTTATTCTTGCGTTGAATAACAACTAAAACAAGAGTTAAAACTAACACTAGAACTAGAAAGTTTCTGGTATACTGGACCGAACTGATAGTATTAAAAAAGATTACTTATTTTAATTAATTTGAGAATTTTAGGATTCTTTTTACCGCCATCTTTAATCGGTTTGACTGAAAATATGTACGAGTTAACTACATTACCGACTTCAAAGTTTTAAATACATCATGGTAAGATGTCTCTGGGTATTTTAAATTAACTCATAAGACTTAAATTATCCTTCCCACGAATCTCATTTCGTATACGATAACATAAAAAAAACTATAACAGCTTATGACTCTTTATAATCGTAAGTATATTCCACTTGACGTCAGCACCCCAAAAACTCTTTCTCGCCCGATAAAAATAATAATTGTATAACACTTGGCGACTGACGTTGGGTGATTCCCACGCGCCGCGACGCGTACCTTCACCTTTTGATGACGTCGACGTCTGCACCCCTTTTTATCACTTATCGACAAGAAACAGGCGTAGGTGGGGTTGTCCTTCACTCAATCTGGTGAGACGTCCTTTTTCACCCCGAGTATTTTACCAGACAGCGAAGAGTTCGGGAGAAAATTTAATTTGGTGATTAATTCAGGTACATATTTGTATAGTTTTCGAAATTTAGATTTTGTTGCTTGTTTAATTATCTTCAAAAACTTTTGATCTTTATAATAATACAGTAAAGGTGAGGTTAGATTTTATATACTATGTATGATATTTTTGAATTTAATTGTACAATGTATTATAGCTTATTTAAAAATCTCCAGAGAACCATAATAAATAGTTATTTCTATTTTTATAATATATAAAAGCGGTTAAACCGTTATTTTAATATACAAAGTAAGTATAAAGAAACTAATAATGTAATAATAGAATGGAGAAAAATGACATGTTTCTCAAAATAGCCAGAATATTATCGAAATGGGCAACAGAATTTTCAATCGAATCAAATAGATTAAAACGACTTTACATTTTACACTGTTTATAGCAAGTAAATTAAAACACACCCTTACAGATTGTTACACTCCTCATTAATTGTTCATACTTTTCAATTTTGTTATAAAAAATGTTATTAGAGTGACATCTCAAATCTGTATCGTCATTAAAGATTAATACATCAGATTACAAATGAATTAAAAAAATATTACGCCTGTTATTATATTTCGCTTGAACTCATTTAATAAATGGATTTAATTTAGTTTTATTATGATTATAATTTAATCGAGACCTGCTCGAGGTTAAAAATTATCAATCCGCCCCTTTATTAATTCGATTCTCAGCTTTACACAAAAGTTCTTATTCTGCTCCGCTATTAATTAAGTAGACCTGTTGCTACCATCCTCTTGCTAAATATATCTTATACATAAATCCAGATATAAAAGCTACAATTTGCAAAAAGGTGGATTTATTTATCTGATAAATTTTATTTTATAGTCTCCTTAAAATATAACGCGGTTTTTCAAACACATATATTTTAATCTAAACGTTGATCGATGATTTGCTATAATTAATTTTGTGCGATTGGAAAAACCACGGGCGATATTTTATTAATTTTGATGTCGTCTTACAACGACGACTCGCCAAGCAAGCAGCAATAATCTATCAAGGTCTTTATTGGTGATGGAACAGATAGTGATTTTGCGAAAAGCCGGATATTCGACCAGATAGCCGGTTATCCGGCATATCTATCCGGCCATTATGGTTATAACTTCTGATGCATTTTTGGTGATACCCTACAATGCCACATTATTGCGATATTTGAATAAAAATGAAATTAATAAGAAAGCCGATAAGATGTGTCAACTTATTTGGATCCAAGATACAAAATGAACTTTTTTGATGACAAAAACTAAAAGCTATTTTTCAAAACGGGTTGGTTCATTGGAAAGAGGACACTTTTATTAACACGTTGGGACATTTTCATACTCATATTCCAAGAAATAGATTTCATACGAATTTTTAAAACTTAATCGGCGAAAATTGCAAAATTCAAAAAAATTGTCGATTATTTCAAAAATTTATTTCTCAAAAACTAAAAGTGATTTTTCAAAACGGCTTTTTGCATTAAAAAAGAGGATACTTTAATTAATAATTGGTGATATTTCCACAAGGATCCTTCAAGAAATTAATTTTATAGCGAATTTTGAAAATTATCGATGAAAATTGTAACATCGAAAATTTTATCAAAAATACAAATATTATTTTCTCAAAAACTAAAAATTATGTTTCAAAACGCGTTTGTTCATTAAAAAGAGGACACTCTTATTAACACATTGGAAAGTTTTCATGCTCATATTCCAAGAAATGGATTTTATACGAATTTTTAAAACTTAATCGGCGAAAATTGCAAAATTCAAAAAAAATTGTCGATTATTTCAAAAATTTATTTCTCCAGAACTAAAAGTGATTTTTTAAAACTGCTTTTTTCATTAAAAAGAGGATACTTTAATTAATAATTGGTGATATTCCCACAAGGATCCTTCAAGAAGTTAATTTTATAGCGAATTTTGAAAATTATCGATGAAAATTGCAACATCGAAAATTTTATCAAACTTCAATTATTGTTTTCTCAAATACTAAAAGCTATTTTTCAAAACGGGTTGGTTCATTGGAAAGAAGACACTTTTATTAACACATTGGGAATTTTCCACCACTAGTCTATTACGCAACAAAATTCCACTGAGTTTTAAGGTGGATAAATGGTATCTAGAATAGCGGATATGTTTTCCGCGCATCCTTAGGTTTTCCTTCAGGAGTTATCAAATACCCTAGGTATATTACCTTACAACACACAATATTATATTTATCTCTATTTGTAGTTAAACGGAGTTAACCTAAAGGTGTCAATATTAAATCCATCGTTATCAAAACTCCCCGACAAAATACCAGCACAAAACCTGTCCATCAAACAAGAAACGTGACAAGCGCATTTTTAACTCCAAATGGCATTCGAAGAAACATCATTCACACTAACTTGATATATCCAGATTTGAGCTCGATAGTAGCAGTCACCAATTTTGTCTTTCTGACGGCGCGGCAATTGATAAACATCACTGACAGTCATATTCAAGCGATGATAATTCACGATGTTATCCTTAAGTAAACAATTTATATCTTCCTTAAAAAATCCTTATGGTGGTGTGAGCTGATAAGGTGGAACAGCGATTAGATGTACTTTAATGATCCTGATTTGATATTCTATGATGTAGACGTTCCTCTTGGTCGGAAGATATGATTTTTCGCAATCAATGAATTTAATTTTAACCTCAACCCTTTTCTAATTTCAATTTAAGGCAACAGACCAAGACAACCACTCATATTTTTAGTTTCATTGATCTATTTGTAAAAGATCTAGCATCAATCCAGCTTTAGTATTAAAATCAATCTAAACATGCACAATAATTTCTACCAAATATAATAAGCGAAGTTGTAGAAATAAGTTTTCCTTTGCCATCACTTAATTAAACATACAGAGTGTTAATTAATTATCCTACCCGATGTAATCATTGCAAGTATGCAACCAATATCACAGTATTGGTATTGCAATACGCGATTTGCGTATGATGCGTATTGCACTGTGATATTGGTTGCATACTTGCAATGATGACGTCGGGTACGATAATTAATTAACACAGTATTGGTATTGCAATACGCAATTTGCGTATGATGCGTATTGCACTGTGATATTGGTTGCATACTTGCAATGATGACGTCGGGTACGATAATTAATTAACACACTGTATTATGTATTCTTTCATTATTAAATATTTGACCTTCAGCCTTTATTATATTGTATAATAATAAAAATAAATGTAAAATAATTGATCACTCGCGAGTTGCATTTTGCTTTAGTATTGATTACATCTTAACCAAACTTGTGAAGTGTATGCACATACAGGATAAATTTTACCCTCGGTTGAACTTTTAGGTCTTCCTAATCTAACATGGAAAATTCTGAACTTGTATAAGCGAATGTTAATTTATAATTAAGCCTATTACTCTTTATATTTCTTATCTTACCGTACATATATCATGGTTTGGCATCAATACATTCAGTTTTGGGTTGATTGTTTACATTTTAACGCCTTATAATGCTTAGTAATATGTCCAATACAATTTTACGATATTGACATCTAATTGTAAGCCTTTTTGTTTAATCACAAGCAGTATTTTATTAATTTCGATATTGTATAGCAACTGTTTATTAATCTCTATAATCTACAGGGTTATATACAGACTGTTCATCTTTTACCAAATGGTACTTGAAATTATATCAAGTATCAAAAGCAATATTGTTATAAAATGTTTGTGAAGTCGATGGAAGAACTGTATTATTATACAATGACATATCTTGTTATTTAGTTGGAATTCCTACACTTATCTTGCATGGAATGATGTGAGCAAGAGATATTTTGTTTAAAAAATATTCGTGAACATAGAAATACTATTTTAACCATTTCCCATGTTACATGATTGTCCAAGCAAATAGCTTTTAAAGATGTTAAATTTAACTTAGCGTAAAAGTGTGTTATCCAGATCCATATCTCTTTCCGCATAGTATTAATAATCTCTTAGGATCACACATTTATTTCCGTATTTAACGTCCAGAGTTAACCGCGCTATTTCTATTATTATGAAAAACTTTAGATTTGAATTTATTCGTTGAAAAGTTTACGTCAGTAGCTCGCGATGGTTTATCTTTTTTTTTTTTTTACTGAGACGATGATA